TTGAGGCATACCACAATCAAAGCAAGACCAATCTTCACCAGTGAACGCTAAAGCCTGGTAGATATCGTCAGACATGCCAATACATCGGCAATGAAACCAGAAGCGACAAATATTAATATCACAAAATATTCCTCTCTGGTTACATTTCACAAGCTTGCCACATACTTTACACGGGTGCTTGAATTTTCGAGTGGCGCGAGTTTTAACCGAGCTTGAGCAAGGAGGAACATCAACGCTCTCGCAACCAGGGTTCATTTCAACGTCCCCACTGAGTAGAATTTCTACAATGATGGATTAAACGTAGAAATTCTATTAGAGTAATAAGTATATCGTGTAAAGAGGAACTTGACTCGCCAAAGCCGATATCCAATATGGCCGCCTCCACGTGGTTCAGTTGGAAGCAAGCAAAGCTCACGAAATCGTTGCCCAAAAAGCACATGAAAATTTCTTACTGTAGCGCCAGGAGAAACAGAAGATGGAAAGCTAACCCCTCGGCCGCAATATACAGATATATGCCATACGAAAAGGCAAAAAAAAACTAAATAGTAGGAGTTCATAAAATTCCCCCCGCTCCGCATGTCGCACTGCTCTGCGCTGAGGTAAACTGCTCCAGCATTCCTCAGCCTTCGATCCGAATCTTTCAGTTTGGAAATGTAGTTTGCAGATATGCCACGCACAACACGTTTTGCGTTTTTTTTCCAGCTACAATGGATTAAAAAAAAATTAATCGCGGTGTCCCAGTGCGTCACCGTCTCGTCTCTTCAGTCCTCGCCTCCCCCTTCTCCGACCTTAACATCCCCCTCCCCCGATCCTACCAAGACAAAATGTTTCTTTCACGTTTAGCACTTTGATCGACGAAAAACATGGCTTTTTCTCGATGTAGTGAAGAAGTTTCACATTATCATGGCGTAAGGACACCAGCACTCATTGTGCTAATTTCGTTAAAAGAATTTAGAAAAARTTCACATGGTTAGCCAACCCACAGTAAATAGCTGTTATGATATCTTTTAACAGAAACATCAATTCACCTTCAAAAATAATATTTAAAATATACGTCCGCACACACAATTGTAAACACTGATGAGGAATACGGTAGGTTAATGCTATAACGAAATCATGTGCTAAACCTGACTACTGGACTGTCTAGAAAAGGACAAAAAAGACCTTTTTAAAAATTTTATGAAGAAACTAGTCGATAAAAACTATTACTGGACATTACTTTCGCCAGGATAACGATATTTTAAGAAATAGTCTTGTATCATCAAGGTTGGACGACGATCGACGTCCTGTGTGACTTGTAGTTGATTTGCTACTTGATGTACAATGACAACAACACGACTTAACGAATAAAGCGAAGATCTAGAGTTGGCAATTGACCGCGTTAAGCCTCTGCGCAATTAGCAGGACACTTTTACAGAGTAGCACTGACTGCCTGTTTACCATTTCAACAATACAATCCGTTAAATAGCCTGAAATAATTACAACTTATAACTTTTCCTCAGTAATTCCGGCACGCGCTAATTCCGTCACGGGTGTGTCAATTTCGTTGTGGCCTCACGAAGGACGTATACTGATATATTTTACTTGATATCATACATAACAGAAATTGGAAATTATGTGGCACATATTCACTATTTCATGGATATCACCAAGATATGTATTGCCTAAACATTTTCAAGACAGATTTGTTGGAGCATGTATATATACAAGTATCCTTAGTTTACGTGGCTGCGTTCATAAGAGGCACTGTATAGTAAGGTTACACAATGAGATCCATTACCATTTAAGAATGATAAGTGGTACATGGGTACATCTACATGGCTATTTTTGTTGGACGGGTGATGGTTAAACAACGCTCAAAAAGCGTCACTTTAGTTCAGTAGGGTTGATCCGAATTGACAATGTACAAAAGAACAACGACCGAGTTCAGTATTTGGCTTATCAACTAAAGTATTTAAACATAAGTTATAAATTGCCTTATATAAGCGATATTTAAAATACGGAGTTTATACGGATATTCGAGGCACCCACCCCACACTTGCTAATATCTTTTTATCTATCATTCCCTTTGGTAGAGATCGACAAAGATGACTAATGTTTTTGTTCGACAGTGGTGGACCTCTCAAAATTGATAACGGTGAATCATGGTCCGACATCTGTTCCACGCCTACAATTGTACCTCCAGTGAACTCCAATCCATACAAACATGATTTTCAATTATATCAGAATACAGAGTTTGTATGGGAGCCTAATAAAACGGGGTTTTGACTGGGTAAGTAGAGCTGTCCACTTACGAGTGTCCGTTAAGGGAGCTTCGGCACCGATCAGCAAATAAAATACGCCGTCTACACATGTTATGTATAATCCTAATAACGTAAAAACTGCAACGAATCACCACCGAGATGAAATTTGCCAACGGTGAGAATTTATCAAAACTTATTGTGATGATTAGCCAGTCAGTATAATCCTACACAATGTATTGTTATTTTTTGGGTTTTTCGAGAAGTTTACCCGCTATTAGCGCGCGCACATAAACAAAACAGCGGCTGTTTCTGTATGGTTTTGGCAAGCGCCAGATACAAAATGAGTTTTATTCATCATCAGATAATTCGTTGCCTGATGACAGTTCTAACACAAAGGCCTCATCGTACACAACTTCCTCCATCATCGATTCGTCTGATTTCTCGTCATCTGGAAGATAGCCGATACCACTCAAATTAGCTTAGGCTTTTGCTACCTCAGCATCATCAATAGGTTTAGGGGAATCCAAGTTACCACCCCATAAAAGCAGCAGCGAGGGAATGTGTTTACAATGAATCATTCCTGCATTAAGAGGGTTATCAGTGTGAGGCAGAAGCGCATCCACTGATTCGTCTAGAAGCCTCATTTCGTTTTGGAGGAAAGAGACAAGGCGATTCATTTCCTCCTTCAACAGCTCAAGCTCCTCCGGACACCTGTTGTGTAAGCAGAAATGGTCAATTATCTGCCTCCTAACAAGAGCAGGAACGGTGTCCCCTTCCTCTTGGAATTCAGAGTAAATGCTGCTCTTAGGATCCTTAGCATCGTCATAAAGAATTTGGGGTACATCATTGGGAAGATACCCATTTACTTCGGACAAAGTTTTGAGGACGGACTTCGCGACTTTGTTGATCTGCTTTGCGAGCTTTATGGCAATTGCTTGGCCATCTGAAAATTAAAAAGTTCACAATAACTAAAAACGCAATGCAGTGGCAGTTTTATGGGTTAGACGGTAAAATGTAAATGTGTAAGGCTTGGGAACTGGGAAAATTTAGCCCTCATACCCCTTCTCAAATAGGTAAGTAGGAATTTCGCCTTTTACAAGTTTAATCACTTTGAAAAGCTCAGGTACTCGCTAATGTAAATCATGAATTTGGTAGGTGCTACGTCCACACACAATATACCTGAGTCTTTTAGACATGAGGAGCAAGCTGACATATGATTCGTCCAACTCGGCAGTATTAATCATGTGACAGATTAATAATGTATTAGTGAATACAAAAAAACCTGTTTTCCCTACTGATTGTTAATAAATGCTGAGGAATAAAACTACCGTGTTCTTTTGGTTTCAGCGCTTCCACTTCTTCCTTTTGCCACTCTTGTATCACATCATCACAACCTAGTACTGGTAAATACATGTATTGCAATAATCATATCGCATGCATGTAAGTCATTGTGCTGTTTTTCAATGCAATGGGTAAAAAAAAGGTTTAAAATGTATACCTGGAAGTTTTTCAGTGAGTTCCTCAAGCTTTGCACTGACATCCTGTAGAAGAGTTTCTGCCCTTTGAATATTAAAAGGAATCAGTTTAATGTGTGCTAATAAGACTAATCAACCTCGACTTACATCTTAACACATGTCCTTGTTAAAAAAAATGAAGAGCTGCAACTACAACAGAAAACACAGGGTAGATAAAGCTGTCCAGCTAAAGTTCTGGTTTGGGTTGTTCAAAGCTGTGTTAAGATAGCCCAGGGTTAGTGTGAAATTTGATTTCAAATCTGAAAGCTCTGAAAGAAAATTCAGCTTAATTCCATTTGTCTACAATTTGATGATTAAATGTTCTAAAAAGAACTAGGAAAATTATCCCAAAATGGCTTTTGATTAGAGAAATTTGGAAACCTGGATTAAAATTTAACCCTGGGTTAGAGCTAATTGGCCTTTGAACAACTGGGCCCTGGTCAATAGTTGACACATCTTTTACTTTTCAGCAAAACCCACAGAACTGTGAAAGTTATGTGTTCAATAAAATTAACCATACCCAATTTGTGATACAAATGTTGGGAATAGTGAAGAAGCCCATCAGTCTAAACATCTGTCCTTTTGTGAGCACTCACTTCTTTGGTGACAGAAGAAAACCTATGCAGAAAGGACCATAACCTTTCCACCCCTTCATCATCTGTCAATCCAGTTCCCTTGATCCTTCTTAGACTGTACTAGATCTACAGACAATCATATTGAAGATAAAACCTAAGCATTAATATGGCATGGACCTTACATCAGATAGTTAGCCAATATGTGTACTAGCCTGCAGTGCAGGCAGATTTTAGCAGTGTGAATGAATACTTCCAAATCAAGTGTTGAAAGCACCATATTGAATTAAGAAAACAGTGGAGAGTTGGAGCAAAATCAATTTTTACCGAGCCAGTTGGCATGAGACCTCCTCCCGCATTGCATTCTCACCCCAACTTTCCAGTAAGACAAACACTCAAAAGATGGCAACCACCAAACCCAACTGCACTGCAGGCTATATACTTAAAAATTTAATTTTCAATTTAGGTAAAACTAACCTTGAGTAAAGGCTCACTGGCCAGTGGTCATTATCAAAGCTGATAGGCTTATGTAGGGTGGCTACTCTTTTATAAGGAACATGTACATCTGCTTAAATATTTTACCTTGCTTGCTTAGCTGACCCTTGCACATCATTTGCTTTCGATTTTGGAAACTGCTTTCAGATTTCTGATCCCACACTGCTGACCCACAAGGCCATTTACCGTTAAACTTATATATACTAACCTGGCATGATGCCTTGTGCCCATAGCAATGGAATATGGGTATGACAACATCAACACTGGCCTTCCAAGAAGCTTTCCTGAGATGAACACTGACAAATATAATCATGTAAATGAAAATTGTGTCAGCAGTAATAAACTATTCTGCAGTTAAGATGTGATCCTCACAGATAATCATGCAATTTAAATGTAAGAAATAATGGGAATTTAACCAAACACAAAGAAGAAAAGAATCTGGACCCATTGGGATTTGAGCCCATGACATTGTCATTACAGGAGCATTACTGCTCTACCCACTGAGCTATGAACCCCCATATGTTGGGAGCAAGCCAGTACCCATGAAAGGAAGTGATGAAATAGACAATGGAATTATGTGACCTGCAAAAATGACAATTTATTTGATGAAGGCAGTTGCTCAAAATTCAGTAAATAACTCGGATGATTTCATCTTCATTTCATTTCCACAATTCACTTAATTCCAGTCTGTTCCAATAAATTACTTCATTTCATCCCAAATTTAATAGAAAATAGTTTGGACAATTCTACATAATTAAATACCACTTTAGATTACCATTTAGCCTCCTGCACATCCATGTTCAAAAAATTTACTTACCTTCAAATGGTGTGCTAATAGACAAGCATTGTCATACATGATCATTACTCTGCTTCTGGTGCTCTTATTAAGACTTCTAAGCCTCTTAAGCTCATAAACAGAGTATGATATTCTGTAGAGAAAAAATATTATTGAAAAGGTGAATTGACACGGATGTCGTTACACATGTCGTGACGTCGCGTCACGATTATGTTCGCAATGTATTGTGGTTAGTAAAAAAGGAATAAGCACGCCTTCAAGATGTTGTTTTTTCGGAAACGAGCCCTTATTCTATCTCGAATGGTTTAGCGAACCGCGAACTACGTGAACAGCAGTAGATTGTTAAATTTTGAATATTTTACAGTGAATCAATAACCAATTTTTTCTTTTATATCTTTTTACACAAAATCTAAGACAAATTGAATATATTTCCTGTAATATGACATTCAAATTGATAACAAAGTTATACAAAGGCGATGCTAATAGTGTAAAGAATCATAGGATGTCCCTGTATGGTATATACAAGTGTGCCGATTGTCAGCTTGACAAATTCATAATAATCATGGCTGTATCATGTAACTCTCTGCGTCTCTGACCATAGACAGACAATACATGTAGGATTGAGCACAACATTAGGTAAAATGTATTTACATACTCCATACCTTTCACCATGTTCTGATAACACAGCGTATTTGTTCACGGCTTGACAGCTTTACACAGCATTTCATTTTCACGGCTTTCGACATGCATCGTTCTACAACTCTTGCAAAGAAACTATATTAAAACGAGAGTCACGTGACCCTACAAATACTATCTCAGGGTACCCCTACAAGTCAAGTCTGTCCGGTTTCTTACTTAGTCTAGCCGTGCAGGTATAACGGGCTGTAACACACCATGCTTTAAGTTATGGAATCCTTTAGGAAAGTCATGTCTGCATACTCGCCTACTCCTAGAACCGCACTCCCAGAAGCAGATAGCGTAATTTTTTTTCCATGAAGTAAAGTTTTTCGAATGCAAGTTTGTTTTAAACTGCAGTTGTTTACAATGATCTGTATCGCAGAGGTCAGAGGTCAGTGGTTCGAGTCCCGTTCAGGCCTGATTTTTTTCAGGTCTGATTTTCGCTATTGCATAAATAGCGCTATCTACTGCGAGGATCGCACATCATACGTATCTAATACCGCAGTTCACAATATATGAACTTCATGTATTCATTGCATCTCAATGAATCTTCCTTCGCTTTTGAATTGCGGGGCAATTTGATTGGCTAGTTTTAGCCAATAGCAGCGATCTTTGCTGTGAAGCAGTACATGCAGTAATTTCTAATGGACCGAGCCCGTAGTTCTAAAATGTAGAAGTAGGGGCTTTGCCCATTTAGAACACGCGAAGCAGGTGTAGTAAAAGTAACTTTCAATCCTTTGCTTTGTCCTCCTCAGTGAGGATGAAATTCCAAGCAAATGTTTGATTATATCCAATGTAGGAAACTATCGTTTTATTCGGCCGATCTGATAAGCCAGATATTTCCGTCCAACTTAAAACTTCAATTAAAGTATGTGACAATTCAGACGACGGTTTTAACATGAAGCTAAAATCGTCGTTTAAAACAGAGACGAATAATATAAAACGAAAAGATACAACTAAACGAAACAAAGTAAACAAAAAAAAAAGGAAGAAAAAGCACGAGGTGAGGGAAAATCAAGTATGGAGAGGGAAATGCGCTTTCTATTGCTAAAACGTTGTCAGCTTAACAGCATCAACCAATATTTATGTGGCATTAATGCGTTATGGGTAAGTGTTTAAACAGACTTTATCTCATTTGCGGCAGAATACTCCGCTCTCTGGCAACGGGTTGAAACCAGAAGTAGCATGTCGAATTATGGAAA